TTTGACATTCACCAATGACTATTTATATGGTAAAATAACTACAATTTCCCTACTAATAAAAGTGAGGTCTGCAATGATCATATCCCAGAATTTTTCACTCTGCATTCTATAATCTAGCCCTACATTTCAGTTATACAGACACTGAACATGCCACAGAAAACAACATCCCAACAGGACTGAGGGAAGAAGAGAGCTTTCAGAACAGAAACAGCGGCAGCCGGGCAGCATCTCTCCTGTATTCAGGAGTTCCTGACTCTAAGCAGGGGTCTAAATGCTTTGCGTAGGTTTCCTGCAATCCTCACGATAGCCCTACGAGGCAGAAATTATGAAACTCATTGTACTGACAAGGAAACAGGCACAGCTCAGCACCTGGCCCAATGTTACAAACGGAATGAAGCGGCAAGAGACGGATTCAAATCCCAACTGGCCTTGGAAGCGCCCAGGCTCTAACCTGCCACACAGTCTGTGAGCACTCCCGTTCTGCAGTGTGCAGAGAATGCGTCTGTTCAGCACAGAAACAGTGTCTCTGCGTAACACAAATCAGTGGAAATGATACACATGCAAGGTGCAAAGTTCTAAATCAAGAGATGCAAACAGAATAATACAAAGTTTAAAATAGTTTCAATTGAACAACAATTCTTCCTCTAGGAAGAAAGGTATCTTCCTGATAATTTTCAGGTTAAAAACCAAAATTAGACTAAATAATATCCATAATGACAATCTACTGATTCTGACAGCCAACATTTATTGAATGCTGACAATATTGGAATATACGGATACACACCTAACCGCAGAGCTTGTGCTCTTAACCATTAGTATTTAAAAATCCTAAATTCGTTGTCAATTTAGAAGCCCTATACAGCATATTGAAGCCCTGGTGGTGCAGTGGTTAAGGGCTTGGGATGCTAACCAAAAGGTAGACAGTTTGAATCCACCAGCTGCTCCTTGGAAACCCCATGAGGCAGTTCTACTCTGTCCTACAGGGTCGCTATAAGCCAGAATCGACGCAACAGCAATGACTTTGGTTTTATACAGCATACTGGTCGGAATCCGACTCCACAGCAATGGGTCTCGTTTTTTGGGTTTTACACAGCAATGGAGGCGGCCCTGGGTAGCGTAAACGGTTTGCGCTTGTCTACTAACCTAACAGCTGGCGGTTTGAACCCACCCAGTGGTGCTGCAGAAGAAAGATCTGCTTCTGTAGAGACTACAGCCAAGATCCTATGGAGCAGTTCCACTCTGTAACACCAGGGGTCACCGTAATTCAGAACTGACTCAATAGCAGTGGGTTTTTTTGGCATTATACAGCAATGGGGAGTCCTGGGTGGTACAAACAGCTGACACGGTTTGAGTCCACCCAGAGGTATCTTGGAAGAAAGACCTGGTGATCTAATTCCAAAAACCTCAACCACTGAAAACCCCATACAGCACAGCTCTACTCTGACACATGCAGGCCTGCCAGGAATGAAAATTAATCAATGGCGAGCGTGGTTTTTAGACAACAATGGACAAAATGAGGAAGAGAACCACAAACATAAATTTTGCTTATAAATAAATCAATGAAAACCACAATCCAGATGTGACAAAGCACGGATTTTTAAACTCACCGATCAGCCCCTTGGTAGTGCTTGATGTCGTGGCTCCGTGAGCGGGCACGGGTGCTGGTCTGGCGTCTTCGGGGGGCACAGGTGCTGTGCTGCTGCTTTCGGCGTCAGTGGGAACGTCTTTCCCACCCCTCCGCTTTATCGTGCCTGTGTCGCCTTCGGAGCCTTCTCCCCAGTAACCCGTGGAAGACGCCCAGCTTGCCCGGGACTGGGCTTGTTCAAGACTCTCTCTGCTTTGATTCTGCCTGTTATACTTTGTGCTATGATCAGCAAACACGATTTGGTCCATATGGCTGCTTGAGGCCCACAAACCTGGAGGATCCCCTGAATAATCAAAGTGAGTGTGCCCGAAGGGCAGTGTCTCCCAGCTTCTCTGGTGCTGGATGGTTTGTATATTATCGTGGGAACCACTTGAGCACGACGTCCAGCTCCCCCGGCCGCTGTCGGCCGCGTCAAGTGACGCGCGATCCCCCTGGTCTTGGGAAAGTTCTTCTGTGCTTGGAGAAGAAATTACTGTAGCTGTAGCATACAAACCCCGACTCTCAGACACTGGTGCATAGGATCTAAATGGTCAAAAGAAAGGAAAAAGAAAACAATGCCACGTTGTTCACTCAGAAACTTATGATAAAAACCAAAACACCTTTTTTTCCGAGAAAGGTGCCCATCTTTGAGCCCAGGAAGAGAAGGAAATGCATCACACTGGCCAGTTTTGTCATGTCCAGTTTCTTAATTTGTCATCACCACAAAATAAGCAAAGACAGAAGAGAACAACTAGATGATAAGGTTTTCCTTATAAGGTTAAGGGTGGCTCAACATAATCAGATTATTTCAGGAAGGCAGCTCGTACCTCTGCTTTCAACACAGAACAGCTGTGATCCAACAAAGACTGTGCCTAAGTGAACAACAAAAATAGCACTGCTACTTAATAACCTAGAAATCGTGAAAATCACAACTGCGACGGGAGACCACTTCTCAGGCACTGCGTAAAGTAACTAGAAACGTGCATCTAGAAGGAAAAACTCAGTTATAAAAGAAAGATGGAAGCAGGAGGTAAAAGAACATTAACCAAAGGCCTCCTACCCTAGGCTGTACTGATCGGGCTCCAGCAGGGGCCGCCTCTCCATCCTGCCCACACCGAGGCTGGTTTCCACAATGCTGACGGAATGCCTCTGGGGCCTCTCATCATGCAGCGGGACCGGTACCGAGTCAAAGGACGAATTGCTGACAATACTGGATCGTGAAGAAATCTCACTGTGACCGGAATCTGAAAAATTCTCCACAGTACCACTAGGGGCCAAAGTATAGCCTGCATGGGAAACACAGCCACAGTCATTAGACACTGGAGGGTTATCACATAAGAATGATGTCCAGCAAACAAGAAGCAAACATAAAATACAGGCAAAGATATCACTGCTGAAGTGGGGAAACAACCCCAAAACATTCTATTTGTAGAGATCAGGCCATAAAGAGATAAGGTAAATTTCTACTGTGATGAAGCTTCAGTTGCTTATTGAAAGTTTAGAGAAAAAAGGAGACATTGTTGTATGAGTTAGGAAATGATGCAGAAATCACGGCACTCCTGGACTGTTCTCAGCTAGTAAGTTAAACTATTAGTCTATCTAAAAGACACTACAAAGACTGTGAGCAGATGTAAAGGCATGTTTTTTGTTTCCCCCAAAGTGCAAAGTTAGCAATCTTGTTTTCAATTTTCATAACTTAAAATACCTGCATTATGCTTAGAATTTTAAGCGGACAGATAAACGAAAAGAACAAAAAATAAGACTGTTGGAAGATTATCTTTGGATTTTTGCCATTTGGTTTTTCAACATTAATAATGTATTAGATGAATCACAAATAATCAACCGTTTTGAAGCATGTAATGTGCAACATCTTCATTTTGTCCCCAAAACCATCACTATAAAATGTCTAAGCAGATGCCCATGTCTTGACCTGAAGGGACCCTTCACTTTCCTCTGTTGCTAAAACTAATTTTGAAATTCGCAAAGGAAGGGGCTTGGCTTGACATTTTCAATGAAAAAACCCAAATCTTCTTTCTCAGTATTCAATTTTTTTCTTTTTTATGACTACTAAGGATCTCATATGTTACTTCAAATACTGCTTTTATATGATTCTATGCAATGCAAATTTCACAATGCTGCTGAACTAACAAAATACCACATCCAGAGCACCAAAACGCTGCAGATTTACTCTCTCCACAGCACTTCCCCATCTTTTCAGTACATGGTGACTTCCTGATTTATTTTTTGAAGTTTGCACAGGTCTTGATAAGATTTAATGTCTTCTTCTCTGAAATGTGTTTTTATAAATCCCACTACAAGTGCAGACCAGCAAGATTTAAAGCCTTCCCTGAACAGTCTGCTCAAACAAAACCAAAAACAAAACCTCTAGAAAAATAACTGCTCGTAGGGAGCACCTGACAGCCGGAGGACCGCTTTCCTTTTCCTAAACTAAGGAGATGGTTCCTTTCTCTCCCACCCGTGGTTTTGGTTCTATAAACCCCACCTATCCCACAGGTCCGTGGTGCATTGTTATTCTTGTTACTGTTCTCACTTCCAAGAGAAGAGGAAGAACTGGTTAAGTCCAGCTGCCCGGAGCCAAAAGATCTCGGCTGATTGCCACTGCCATCTGATAACAGGACAAGAACAGAATTTAGATACAGCCACTTCACAGGGACAGCAGAGCCCGACACAGGCAAAACGCAAAGACGGCTGAAGTGTCTGAAAACTCAAGCACAAAGAGGCATTTGCTGCGTCAGGCAAATCAGACAACTTCTTCACCTCCTTGGCCCTCTTGCAGGGAAACTAGTTCCTAATATTTATGACCGCGTTACACCTTGTCAGTTAACAGGCGGGAGGAGAGAGTAGATTATCTACTATTTTAATATGATAAAGTAGCAAGGAAAGGAGGAGAGGGTGACTGCCTAAAATTTAGTCTCTTTAAAAATAAAACAAGATAGCAACAGAAAAGGTAATCAAGACCTGTGTTAATACAAGGAAACAATAAATCAGGAAGATATTAGTTCTTCTTATGTTTTTAAAATCATCTTCTCTATAAAGTTATATAATCTAATTTAGTTAGAATAAATTTTAATATCAAAAGAATACTTTCCACACTTAAAGAGCAATAAATACAAATAAATTAAAAGGCCCTATGTAGTTATAAATTCAATACTATTTACTGTAAGTATAATATTAAAAAGTGAATACTGAAATTCTTGCAAATTTAAAAGCTGAGGGAAAAAACCCACGGGACATTCTGAGATAATTTAAATGACTCTGTAATATTAAAACTTATGTGGTACATAACTGTAATTTATTAGAGCTGAAATGTATAATTGTTATGAAGAAAATCCAAGTAATGAAGTAAATGATTCTACCTTTCCTTGGAGAAGTCTGTGGAGAAGTAGGAGGAGAGGAAAGCTGTGAAGACACGTTTGAGATCGTATCTTCTGCTTGCTTCTTGTGACGTTCGGAACTTCCTTCCTCAGACAAAGAGAGGATCTTCTTTAAAGCCTGTGGTGAGTTTATGCCTAAGAGAAAAGTAAACAACTTAAATACGTGCTTTCAGGACCAAAAAAGAAGTAGCATTAACTACTAAAAAAACTTTTCTGCGGTAAGAATTTTGAACGTACTTTAAAAAGTGAAACATATTAAACGAAACTGGCTCATTTACATTCAGAAAATCACCCTGGAGCTGTGAGACAGAAGGTGCTAAGGAGGGCAAAGTGATGACTTCACGCTGCTGAATCTCCATCCAGTGACAGATCATGGGCCTCAGTATTACATCGAATTTCGACCTATTTACAATTTAAATGCTTTTTGTCCCTGTCATGGTGGAAACAGTACAGCTGCAGAAAGCGGGAGATGCCTGTAGTTTGATGTCTGACAGGTGTCTGACAGAGTCCTACAAACAGGCTCCTTCTGATATTTTACTTTACATTCTAGACCCTAAAGTAGTCACCATCTTCACTCCACCGTACATTAGGGGACAAAGAAGAAGGAAATAAAGACAATTTGAAAACGTGAATTTAGGATAAAAGTGACACAGCTAGGACTATTTATTAACAAAACTCAACAGGTAACTTCAGTATTGTTGGCTATGTTAGCTCAGGGAAGGGGGGACGACAGGAGAAAAGTAAAGGGCCAAGAGCTAACTGGAATTCGTGAGAAAGTGAATATGAGAGCTTTAAGGAATTCTATGCAGGTGGCACGGTGGTTAAAGTGCTCAGCTGCCAACCAAAAGGTCGGTGGTTCAAACGCACCAGCTGCTCTGCAGGAGAAAGATGTGGCAGTCGGCTTCTGTAAAGAGTGACAGCCTTGGAAACCCTATGGGGCAGTTCTACTCTGCCCTAGAAGGTCGCTATGAGTTGGAATCGACTCAATGGCAACAGTTTTTTGTTTTGTTTTTTAATATTTGATCAAAGAAACGAAGGAAGAAGGCAGGAGGGGACCCATGAAGTGCTGAGCCACAGAAACCATGGAAAAAAGATTTTCAGAGAAGGGAATGATCCAGGGCCAAGTGTACAATCAACTGGGATGCGGCTGGAGGAAAAAGGATTATACATGCCAATAAAGGGTGATCCTGCCCCCCCCACAAATACTTGTCAGAAATGAGGGTCATTCCGATCTTTACAAAGTCTCTCATGTTATTATCAAGCACTCTTCACAGCCTTATTTTGAACAACAAAGAGATATTTGGGAAGGCACTTTAGGCTAAAACTAACTCAATTAACATCAGTTTTGAAAGAATGTTCACAGACCTAACAGGATCCATTATAAAGGTGGCAACAAAACACACCAAGATTTAATCTTGCACTTCACCTCATGTAGGCGTTTCATGTTGTTACAGGATAATCATTTCAAAAATCACCTATAAGGTGATATAGATACTATAGATACATAGATACTGATACACACAGAGCCCTGGTGGCACAGTGGTTAAGTGCTACGGCTGCTAACCAAAAGGTCGGCAGTTCGAATTCACCAGCTGCTCCTTGGAAACCCTATTAGGCAGTTCTACTCTGTCCTACAGGGTCTCTATGAATCGGAATTGATAACAACAGTTTGGTTTGGTTACTAATATACACAAGGCGTATGAAATATCAACTATCCTAAAGCTACATGATGAGTAGTTTTGACTTGGACAAAGTTTCCAAGGCCAGCATTACACAGAGCTTTAAAAACTGCTGTCTTTCAGACGCCGGAGTACAGAAGCGGAGACAGCACGCCTTAGAAGACTGGGTTAGATACTTCAACAGGGGCTCTAGTGAGGACTGGGACATCCAGGCAGAAACGCGGAGTGCTTGGAAACAAATCACTGCAAAAATCAGAGCAGGAGAAATCCATCTCAGTATTTCTAAATACTGTGAAACCTGTGAAACCCGGAACCTGCGTAAGGCAGAATCTTGTCAGAGAAGGAAAACTCAAAAATACTTCTCGCTAAAACAAGTGATCGATAAGTGGTAAGACCGCACCCTGTCAAAGGCAGCAAACTTGTGAGACCCCGAAAAAGGAGGGAGTCGTGTCGAGTTCGGGCTCTCCCAGGCTTCACTGCATTTTATATAATGGGATTTTAAGTATTATGGTAAACTAAATAAATAACATTAAGAAAACATATGACTATTTAATCCACATTTCTAAAGTTCATATATTCAAATGGCCTAAAAGCATTCCGAGATCTCTTTGGGAACATGGGGAATAGCCGTACATTCATGCAATCCCTATATTTAGGCTAACAGACGATATTTAGCTAAAAGGAAGCCTGATAACTGTCTACATAGGAAGTCCAATGTAAAAGAGAAGGCAGAAGTCAGGATGCAGGGGATTTAGAACATTTAGAAAATAATGAATATACCAAAAAACCAAACTCACAAACTCACTGCCATCAAGTCGATTCCGACTCATAGCAGCCCTATAGGAAAAAGCAGAACTGCTCCATGGGTTTCCAAGGACAGGCTGGGGGATTTGAACTGCTGACCTTTTTTCTGGTTAGCAGTGGAGTTCTTAACCATTGCACCACCAAAAAACAAAACCCGTTGCTGTTGAATCCATTCCGACTCATAGCAACCCTGCAGGACCAAGGAGAACTGCCCCGTAGGGTTTCCAAGGAGCGGCCGGTGGATTCAAACCGCTGGCCTTTTGGTTAGCAGCCGTAGCTCTTAACTACCGTGCCACCAGGGCTCCAGAAAAATCATCGAGAGTCGCATCCCTGGGTGGGCTCGAACCACCAACCTTTCAGTTAACAGCAGAATGTGCTAACCAATTGCGCCACGGAGACAGCAAACACACTGTCATCAGGGCTCCCGTGACGGACACAGAAACATGTAATTCAGCTTGCTTGTGAGAGCGGAGCAATAAAATGTCTGACAGGGCAAACATCAAGTAGAGATGTTCTTTTCTCACCTTCTCCCCAAACTCAAGGACTAGGACACCCACTGACAATGAGGAATACGCCAAGGATAGCGTTTCTAAGGGATATGCTGTATGACTCTTGCCCAACTCGTGTGCATAAGCAGCAACTACACATACCTTAGTTACCAACACCGTTTTACCTAAGTAAACTCTCTGCTGTGAGTTTATTTTTTAAAGTCTCTTTCCTTTTTTAACATTGCCTCCTTTCACATATACGTAGAACCAGGACATTTTATGGACAATTACTTCGTTGTGCCTCTTACATAAAGGAACTAAACGGGGAGATGGGTCAGTTTTAACAGGAAAGACGAAGACTAATTTGTCTCCTTAGCATGCAGGAATTATTTGTATTTTTCTCTGAGTTACAGAGTCAGTGATGTAATAAACAAGAATTTACCTCCCCACAATCATTTGACTTAAAAAAATTCTGCCTCAACTCCAGTGATACATTGATCACATCAAGAATAAGGCAAAACTAGTTTAAATTCTGTGTATGGCCAAGGCAACTTCTGTACTCATTAACAATTAAATTAAAAAGCATAACTTTCCTGTCCCACCTCCTTCCCTGACAAATACGCCAGATTAAATGAGATACTATTTACAAAAAAAGAGTCCCCTCAGCTGGTTAACGTAAAATTAAACTTAAGACCAAAAAAGCCATTGTCATTGAGTCCATTCCAAGTCATGGCAACCCCACGTGTTACGGGGCAGAACTGCTCCATAGGGTTTTCTTGGCTGTAATCTTTATGAAGCAGATCACCAGGCCTTTCTTCTGTGGTGCTGCTGGGTGGGTGTGAACCGCCAACCTTTAGGTTTGTAGCTGAGTGCAAACCATCAGCACCACCCAGGAACCCGAACATTACAGTTTAATTAAGAAATCATCACCACGGGGAAACTCGTTAGGCGACTTTTTCCAAGATGAGCACTTTTTTCCTAAGCTGAACACACCAGAGTGGAAGTGAATTCCATCACCTACCAAAAGGTGGGAGATCCTTGACGGGCACTTTCTTTCGTGAAGGATACAGGGACACAGCAGGGACCTGCAGTCCTTGGCTGACTTTCTGTGGCGGCGGCTGGGGCTGTGCTTTCTGCTGGGACCCTGCCCGTGGGGCCACCGGGGAGGTCTCGCATTTGACAGGCTTTTTATCACCGGGATTCTTAGGCACTGGTAAATGTTTGGTTTGAAAACAGAACAAGAAATTCAACGTGTTAGTAGCTGCGAACAAGATGATTTCAGAACTGCATGAGCATTTTCTGCAATTAGAATACTACAATGCTGACCGTCTTTCCTGCTGCCTATATAATGGACAGAAATGGGGGGGAACCAAAACCAGACCAAACCTAGTTACAGAAAATGCTAAAGGCGCAGCATGGCAATGGTGTTTACTTCAGGGCACTCGCCGCCTCAGAATACGAGTATTCTACTGAAGACATCACTGAAGACACTGAGACACAACCACGGGACTGCGGACAGTTCAGTGGTGCTGCTACTAGGTTCTGGGGAGTCCAGTTCCGACTCAGCGACCCTACAGCACACAGCAGAACTGCCCCACAGGGTTTCAATATGGATGTGAATGTACACAAAAAAATAGATCAATGATAAAAGCTACAAACAGGAAGATCTTTAGGAATTATTTTTCTGAAGTGGTGTCAAACTTCCTTGACACATGAGCTAGGTTTTTATTTAATAAGTGGTATTAACTGCAATCTTTTTACTATCAAATTCTCTGTGGGGTAGAATTACCTGTTAGCAAATAATGGCCAACACTGTTTGAGATTTCTGAGGGTAATTCAGCAACAGATAGATGGCAAACCAATGTGGTAGGACAATCAAATGCTACGTTTACCTGAATATTCAAAACAACTTCATGACATGTCTACTTCTGCCATTTTACATTTAAGGACGCTAAGAAGGAGGGAGCTGAACTAGCTTGTCTACAGTCACGTTCCAGGAAGCAGAACAAGCCAGATTTGATCTCAGGCCGATCTGAGGCTAAGCTCCAGAGGATGAGCTCTTTACTGTAACAAGCAGTGCTTTCAGAGGGTCCCGGGTAAATTAATAATCTGAATCTTCTCCAACCATCTATCTAACATTTAAATTTTATAGAAAGTCTCTTCAAACTTGCCCGTAGAAGGTCCAAAAGTGTCATAAATGGAAAATGCCTCTCTTTTACAAAGACGGATGCTGATGGATCAAAAACTGCCCATTTCTAACCCGGCCCGACGTTTAAGGGCTGAGAACTTAGACATTAGGTTAGCTGTGGTTCACCGTGTAACAAATCACTGCTTCATGTGACAGCTGAATTTGCTGCTGGGTGCCGTCCAGGCTAAAGGTGTACAAGGCCCCCAGCACACCAGCTCTGTGCTCTTCTGACCCGATGAACCCCTTCCGGTCTCCCACCCCCGGGAGCACCTCCGTGAGAAGACAAGGGCCTGGTAGGACAGCGCCGCAGGGCCACTGAACGAGTAAGCGCTGTTGGTCCCCACCCCAGACACTGCGAATGGAAGACCCTGCGCCCCCGACGTCAGAGTCGGCCGCCACTTCACGGAAGACAACTCACGTGTGTTGGTTGCCGGCTCGCACTGCAGTGACAATGTCTGAAGGCTCTCCTCATCCATTTCCAGCTCCAGGTTGGACAGGTACTGCTTCACTTTGCGTGCCATCTGGGCATCTTCGTAAAGCTTTTTGGCATTGAGAAAGGAACTACGACGCACCCGCTTTTTATGACCACCTGTCTGAGCAACATCTAGCAGCGTTGCATTTGTACTACCCTGGCTGAGAGACCTGGAAGACGAAAAGGCAGATACGCAGCTCACTCTAGGATGGGACTCTCGACACACCCGCAACACGCCCAGGCATACACACACGTTCTATGTTCAAAGGTTACAGGCCTCATTCCCGTAAGTACACTGTCGTAAAAGAATATGAACAATGTAGTTTACAGTTGTTTTTTTTTAGTTAAAGAAAGAATCATACATACATATATGTTTGGCACCTGCTCTATTTCAACCAGAAAATTCCACTTTTCGCATCTATAGAGCTTTCAATGAGTTCTCTCATAGAAGCCAGAAAATATTAACCATTTTAATTTTATATCTAAGAGCTCATGCAAGAACACAGAGCGACAATCATTAAGATTTACAACATTAAACTTACTTCTTCTAAAAAGAATGTTTCACACAGATTTAAATAAAATTAGCTATAGTGTTCACAATTGTTTCCTTACTCCCTGGGTCGAACGTGGTGAGTTTTTAAGGAATATGGTCAATCTGTTAATAAAACGGTCATGCAAATGTAAACACGTATGTATGGGAACTATTTAGCACATGAGTTGTTAAGAATTATTTTTTAAAAAGGATTGGTTTATAGAAAGAAAACAGTAGTTAGTTGAGCTGTAAAAAATTTTAGTTTTAACACCTGGGGACACCGTTTATATTATGCACATTTACTTTTCAAGTGTCCGCGTAACACAACTTTAACTGCACAACTGTCCCTTCTAATATCTGCCCCCACCTCCACATTAGGCCTTTCCCAGTTTAAAAAACACCAATTATATTAAATACACCTGTCTGAAAGCTCAGAAGTGTGCCTGCCCTATGTTCCCCAGAACAATCATTGGGCATTTCACAGCTCTCGTGGATCAGGACCTCAAAAGCAAAAGCCCCCACAGATGAAACTTGAAGTCAGTTTACCATCTGAAATTCTGCTAGAGCAAGAGGGTTAAGAAAAAAATGCAAAGCGCCAGAAAACAAAGCAGGTCAGCCCACAATGCAACGAGCAGAGGAAGCACTGTGGGAGGGCAGGCAGGGTCGCCACCACTTACCCCAGACTCCGCCACTTCTTCTTCCTGTAAGTGAGAGCCGTGGAGATGGGAGCATGGGTGTAGAAAGAGAGACAGACAGATCACAAGCTCAGAAAGAAAGGACTAGACTTCTGGATAAGCAGCACTAGAAGCCCACAAACATTAAACTGCATCATCACCTCTCACACACAACTTTACCGCAAGTATTTTTCTGACTCAAAAGAAAAATATGTTTTAATTTTTTGTTCTAAAAGATAACTGACTCCTTTTCTCTCTGTACTCAATCGATCCTTTCCGATTACACTAACAGCTAAATCCGTGGACGGTGAGACAACACTGTTTGGCTCCTTTATATGTTTTAGTTCATACTACCCAGTTACGAGTTTAGCTCTCAAAGTGAATGTTCTAAACAATAATAAAAACTAACTGTGCCTGATGTTAAATTACGAATCTTTGAAGACGAACTACCTTCCCTGCCAATCAAAGGGACACTTGATGCAGATCTTATTCTAACGCCTCCTCCTCAGAGTTCAACGGAGACTCTCCGTGTGCATTAATACAGTATCTGCCGTGCTACACATGTAACTATTCCAACGCTCCTCCTAATTTACGAACCATCTCGACCCTCAACGTCCCGAGTCCCACACGTGCTACTGAAGACAACAGACTCACCGGGTCCTGAACATGAGGGCAGGGTCCATGTTAACCGAAGCCATGCGGCCAACATGACGAATTTCTTTTGCGATCATCCTTAACTTCTCAAAATTGACCAGCCCGTCTACTTTGGAGTCATTGCCTGCAATCGGCAAAAATAAAAAGGGGATCACAACGGCATTTCCTCTATGCTCCACCCAGTGAGGGTGCAAGTCCTCTGAATAGTTACCTTCGTGAAGGAATGTGAGATCCTTCTTAATAACTGGGAACAGCGGGATTATGGGGGGTTGTAGGTTTTGACTATTCAGGACGTTGCGATACTTTGCCATGTTTCTGGAAGGATCGAACAGGTCTTGGAGATCTTGAAACAGCTTTTCGTATTTATTGGGAAGTTTTTCCCAGGTGGTTCGCAGTCTTGCCACTGGTGCCAGGTTCAGACCACTGAGAGGAAGGAGAGAAAAGCTGTATAAAATGAAGTGACTCTCTTTATGAAACGAAGGAAGGAAAAGAATGTGTTATTCGTTAATACACAACACCTCTGTGTGTACGGTTTACATACATGTGAGTTTACAGAAGAATAAAACCAAAACCAAACCCGCTGCCGTCAAGTCGATTCCGATTCATGTTGACCCTACAGGACAGAGCAGAACTGCCCCCATAGAGTTTCCAAGGAGTGGCTGGTGGATACGAACTGCCGACCTTTCGGTTAGCAGCCAAATGCTTAATCACTGCATCACTCGGGTCCCGAGAGAAGAATAAATAACTACTGATGAAAATGCTGGTAATGAGGACAGAAGATGGGAGCAGCGGTCAGAGCCATGGGGTTTTACTCCTTCCCTTTAGACCCTCCTGATCCATGGAAGCAGAACCACTAGAATGGAAGTATCACGAGGGTAGGATTTATTTGTTCTGTTTTGTTGCTTTGTCTCCATACATAGTACAGTGCTTGGCACACAGCAGGCACTGGTAAAACAGATGGGGTAAATATCCTATAATAAAGTAGAACAAAGCCGTAACGGTACCGAGTGTATGATCAAACTCCTAAACAGAGAAAATGACTAATCATCACCACCAACATCAATGTAGCTAATAGTTTCATGTTTGTATTTTGTTCCAGCTTCAATCTAAGTAGAAAGGGAAGAAAAATTAACATTTACTGGGTATCTGCTTTGTGTTTGTCTGATGGAACTCAACATACATTACATAATTTAATCCTCTTAGCAACAACTTCCTGGGGTACTGTTACTTTTCAGACACATATACTGAGGCTCAGGGAATTTAACATAATTTGCCAAGGTCACAGAGCTAAAAATGTGGTGGAGCGAGATTAGGATTAGAATTCATAGAAAGAGAACTGTTCACTCCGATTCAATTAACCACCACAGAATTCATGCAGATTAGACGGCATTCCCGGACCGCTGTGTAGTCTGGGCGCCACACGGACACGTGAGGCCCCCTGGCGGTCTCACCTGATGATCGCGAACATGGAGCTGAAATTCTTGCACTCTCGACAGTGCAGCGCTATCTTGATGAAGTGTTTGATGATCTTCATCCTCTTCAGCTGGTTGGGCTCTCGGAGAATTTCAGACGCCACCCAAAATGTTTCCTGGTTAATGACTTCTTCAAATTTCTTCAGGTTGGCACAGCTGGTTTTGGACTTGAGTTTAAATAAATCATCTATGTATTCAGTCGGTTCAATGTTGCGGAAGAGTTCGAAATTCCGCATGGAGAGCTGTGTGGCCACTTCGACAGTGCTGAGCTGCAGCAGGGAAATCTGGCTTTCTCTCAGCAACTCCTGAGCATCTTCATCTGAGCAAAGCGTCTCTGTTTCCATGTTGTTTTTCAGATAATACCTACGGAAAACACAAAAGCATGTCAGATTTACAGCCTAAGCAGCAGTCTCATGATATTCCTTGAAAGAATTCGCTACTTTTTATGCAGAGTTCAAGACTACACGGAATTGAAGGATGGAAAGATTCTTGGCGAGAGAATGCAGCTGGTGTCTCAGACCCCGGGTCACAGAGCCACCTACCCAGAAGTCACTGATGGAAACTAACAAATCACACACGATTTCACTTGTGACCACTGTAATGACTTTCTCCTTTCCTTCCCTTCTCTCTAGATTATTTTACTTTTTTGCTAAAAATGATAGAAAATACCTGTATTTTCAGTTTAAATAAGGAATAGGATCTAGAGAAGAAAGAGGGGGAAGATCAGACACAGGCCAGCATTCTGATTCCCCAGGTGAAAACGTGTAACTACTGTGGATCAATCTAAGTTTACTTATTTATTCAAATACCAAAGAAACCTACAAGCTATCCCCTTCTATCAGTGATCCTATAAATAAAACAACCCTAAAACAGATTTTAACTTTTAAATATCTGATTTTCATAAAAACTCCACAGGTAAATGGAGCAGCTGTCACTCCTAGCCAGATGAGGAAGCAGGGCCCCAAAGATTAACGATGACTTGGGCACAAGGACTCGGAGCTGCTGCTTTTCCTTTGTTAAGCCACTTGTTGAAAATAGCATTCAGCTGTTTGCAATGTGATTTTTTTTTCCCCCATGAATTTTGTAGACAGACGCTTTCCCTAACCCAAACTCCATGAAGGAAGAAATAGAACCAGCACAGTGGGGGTCCTGTCAAGCTTTTCTGCGTATTTCTCCAGGGCAAACATTTACCACAGAAACGAACACCAAGGGCCCTCGGCCTTCAGACAGCCAACCTTCGCAGCTCTGGTTGCTCACGCAGCTCCTGACACAGATCCATCTATGATTTTTCTCGAATAATGAATTAGCATCATGAGTCTCCAGCTCAGTGGAACTCCATCATGATTACATGATGTAAAACAAAACTACCTACTAGTCCTCGTGTTGGAAAAACAGTAAAAAATGAAGACATGGAAGGAAGTTAAAGTGGTTAGAAAGAGACAGAAGTTTTGAAAACATTAAAACATGCCTTAGATATTTGACATGAAAAAGTCCAATGAAGCACTCCATATGGTAGGAAAAATTGAAAGGAAAAAAAAGGTGACCTATGGAATTACCGTTATTTTTACCCAAATAACGCATGCCTTCTATGTATGTTTGCCAACCATGCCCTCCCCTCCCACAAGGTATTTTTGTAAGTACACTATGCTAACTTTTTCTTACAGCGACACAGCAGTGGCGCTTATGAAAACACCTCAGGGCAGGGGGAGTGGCTGGCAAACAAACACAGAAAGCGTGCGTTATTTGCATAAAAATACGGTACTTAATTTTCAGTCAGTGCACAATCTAATCGTGAGAGATAAAATTTAACTACTTTCCAACTTTCACTAATCCGTGGCTTGAGGCTACAAAATTACATATATCTAACAACAGAAATATGATTCAAGGGAATGACAAAATTAGGTTCAATATTTTCTCAAAAGTAACATGTCATACAAGCACTTACGCAGCAAGGGAATCAAGCTCTGTAGCAACTGAAGTTTGGTCCCAGAGCTAAGAAGCGATTTTCATAGCAAAATTTACAATAATAGGTAGCATTTCCAGGATTTGGAAACCCTGGTGGTGTAGTGGTTAAGAGTTATGGCTGCTAACCAAAAGGCTGGCAGTTTGAATCCACCAGGTGCTCCTTGGAAACCCTATGGGGCAGTTCTACTCTGTCCTACAGGGTCACTATGAGTCGGAATCAACTCATTGGCAAGGGGTTCGGTTCGGTTTCAGTTAACCGATCACATTACCACACATTTCCACCTAAACCAATGAAGCTCCTAGTAAAGCCGGGTAGGCAGAAGGAAATGACTAGGATATTATTAGAAACCATTCTGTGAATGTACCTATCCAAGGAGAAGAACATCAGAATTCACTCTGTGATTTTACACCAGGCGTACTCTGCCACTTGGCCAGCCCAGTGTCCTAAAGGGCAAGGGTAGAAGCTGGGAGGTCAGCACCAACATGTGGATCACAGCGCCCTTGTTTTCAACAAGTTCTTGTTGGAAGGGTCAGCAGTCTACTGTGTGCATTTACTGTGATGTAGCAATCCGTGGTGGAGGGAAAACTCCTTTTTCTTTGAAACCTGCAGGAGTACTCACTCATTTTTTAAACCCTTTCAAAGTGTTCATCCCTTAGACTTTGATGGGAGTTTGAAGACAGGGTAAAGAAATTCAATAGGATACACGTTGTATACCTTCCACTCAGTTGTATTCTGTCAGCAAGTTTGGAAAGCTGATCTGGAAGTCTTCTTTGCTTGATGACTCCCTCAGGAGTGACAGACACCTCACACAGTGAATACTGATCGGGGGTAGCAGTGACAGCGAACTCCCTGATAGCCTGAATGACCACTTCCTTCGCTGTGGTGTCCTTACTGATCATGATGTATCGGCTCTGCTGGTCAGCCTTAAAAACCCTTAGCACTTGGTCCGGCAGGTCTGGGGGAAAGAAAGCCGCACATAAGCAGAGAAGTCTTTAATATACAGTAAGGTAATCAGGCAGAGTACCCCGAAGAAAACCTCAGAGAGGCGATGCTACACCTCCACCTCTCCGTTACTCTACTCCTCCTCAAAGGTTCAATCACCACGCTGATCTGCTGCGAGAACACAGCGCCCTCTCTACCTGACTGAACCATCTGCAGACAAAGTGCAAACACAGCACAGCACAACAGCAGCACGAAGACCGCCATGTTGGCGGCAGAAGAAAAAACATTTAAAGTTCATCTTTATTATTACAATCTTTATTATATTAAAAACACCCTATTTTTTATTACTTTTGATAAGACTTACTAATACCTACATGGTATGTGTCATCTTCATTTCGTGATAGAAAGAAGGCGGCTCAGGGAGATTAACGGGCTATATCAAAATAGTTCATCGAATAGAAGACCTGGTTTCAACTGTTGGAAATTCAAGGTCTACCCCGACTGAATGTCTGATATAATCGATGCCAAACCAAGAGGGACGTGTAAAGCATTACCATTATGTTAGAAGGAAAAAGGTTACCACAAAAAACACAAGTGTCAGGGGTGCTCACCGGGAGTAGCAGTGAAGTCTAAAATGCGATAATGGGACTGCAGTAAGTCAGGGTTACTGGATGACAGGGTTCCGCTGACAGGCAGTGCAGTGGGGATGTGCTTCGTCTGCCTTAATCCTACTATGCTGTCATCCTGAGACTGGCCAATGCCAATATCACTGAACAGGGGAGAATCAGAAAATAAATCGTCAGCAGTTTAAACAGCTATAGGTAGACACAGACCACAAATAAATTATACTTCACAAGACCTGCAGTTAATGAATAAAACCACAGACACAGGCCACAAATAAACCATATTCCATGAGACTTGCACTTAATGAATAAATATCATTAATAAATCTGGCTGAAAACTGCAAAAGCAATGAATTATAAAATTAGCTTTATTTTGAAACTACTCCTTAACTATATCCAACCCAACTCGTTTTTCTACTTCTTGAGTGTATCAGATAATGTGTCTCTAAAACCTATGTCTTTTTAATTAGGAAAGCCCCAACAAATATTAGTAGTTTCTCAGTACAGAAATGTATTTAAGAAGAAATTACCTCCAGTTAACAACGGAGATGGATTTAAAAAGAAGCACATTAAAAAGTGTATTTAATCTCACTCAACCAGCGGCTTTTGCATCAGAATGATAAACTGTTTTATAATCTGACCTGAACCAAACTGTAGAAATGGAATAAAATGAACAGAGGGGAAAAAAATACAAACTGTCCTGATTTTATTCTCCAGTATTTCAGAGGGAAATAAAAGGCCGCTATGGAGTCGAATGTAAGGAAACCCTGACACAGACATGACTTCTTAGTGAGACAGCGCATGACAAGGCAGAGGTGCGCGGTGACACTTCTGAGCGTTAAAGACGAGGTATTCCAAATCCAATGACTCACTTTTACTTTTTTGTCCTCCACTCAAATATCTAGCTACTCATTTACGTTTCCAGAGAAACAGTGCTTATTATTGATAGCTAGAAACTCATTTCCATTTATAAAAAGCCCGTTAACTGTAAACAACTCCTTAAAGATGATTTAATAATACATAAAACTTCTAGATTTCAAGCATCATCTTCAAACAAAATATCTAAATAAAACCATCAGCGCACACACACACAATAACTACATCATAATCAAGTGGTTGTAGTTCTGACTGGTTTCTATAGACATCTTGAAATAAAAAGGAAAAAAATATAAACCAAGTCATTATAAATAACAATGAAGACATACAGTATTTATTAGGCTTTCAGACAGTACGGCTTAATCATAGTATCTACTATTTTTACTAGCTGTGTTAAAAACAAATCTAGCAGCATTATTTCTGTTTTTTGGGGGAAGGGGAAATGGAAATTATAGAGGTAAATATGAGGGCAAGAGATTTCTTTTAAAATCAAGATTAATTTTTAAATTTCTATATAAGCACATATAGGCATGCATATATATAAAAGACTTAAAATACCGGTGTTCTGCAAAAATATTAGAACTATCACATTATCAGTGGAATTGTATTTTTCACCATATGTCATGGATTGAATTGTGTCCCCCAAGAATATCTGTCAACTTGGCTGGGTCATGATTCCCACTATTGTATAATTGTGTACCATTTTGTAATCTGATGTGACTTCCTTATGTGTTGTAAATTCAATCGCTATGGTCTAATAAGATGGATTAGCAGCAGTTATACCGATGAGGTATACAAGATTGGATAGTGTCTTACAACAATCTCTTTGAGACATAAAAGAGAGAAGTGAGTAGAGACACATGGTAACCTCACACCACCAAGAAGGCAGTGCCGGGAGCGAAGCGCGTCCTTTGGACCTGGGGTTCCTGTGCAGAGAAGCCCCCAGACCAAAGGAAGGTTGATGACATGGACCTTCCTCAAGAGCCGATGGAGAAAGCGTTCCCCTAGAGCTGACACCCTGAATTTGGACTTGTAGCCTACTGGACTGTGAGAGAATAAACCTCTCTTTGTTAAAACCATCCACTGTGGTATTTCTGTTATAGCAACACTAGCTGCCTGAGACACCATATAAGCTAGTCTCTACTGCCAAAAATATTAGATGTCATATGTCATGAGAAAACTACTACTGCGGGCTCAAGCCGAGACATAGCTGACTGGTCCACTCTTGCCACAAATGGTTATAACTATTACTATACTCCAGGCAATACCCAAAAGAAGACTCCTTCTTAAGAAATGTTCCTTGGCAACATTGTAACACTTACATGATGATCTAAATCTCTACTGTCACAGTTTCTTGTTTTCTCAACTATCTCTCTGTTATCTGCAAAAACGGGATACTCTTGGATTGAAAATATGTTATATTCAAGACGTCATTTAAAAACGCCCTGCCTGGGCACAGCCTCCTATTGCTTCACCTCTCCAGCTCTCTCCGTGTTACTGACATTGTTTCTCTGGTCTTGACTGCATGTGATAGCCTCTCGGTTCAGTCCCTCTTTTCGCCACCTACCTGACGGCCAAATCTGAATTCCGTGAGCTCTGCCCCACCCTCTCCTCACCTCTTTCATCGCGTCACTCCACCATGCCTGCGCTGCCAACTTACATCATCAGCATCTTAGTTTCTGTAATACTGATAATGCTTGAGAATAAAAACCCACAAAACTGGCCTATAAATCACGCCTAGATTCCTCCATTAGTCCCTTGTTGTTGAACGATTATCCCAGCCACCAGAGCAGAACAGGCTGTATTTATGGGCACTGGGGTGAGTGGGGGTGAGGGAGGCAGATGTGGCTAAAGAAGGTTTTGGTGCCAGATTAGATTAGAATCCTGGCTTTGAAACTTTCTTATTGTGAGGTTATGGGCACACACTTAAGCTTCCTGAGCTTCAATTTCTACATCTGTAAAATGGGAATAAGAGTACCTACTCCAAAAACTACTGTGAAAATTAAATGAGATAATACATACAATGCAGTTACTGGGTATATGGCAGGTTCTCACTAAATGATAAATTTTAATTCGGCAGTGCCCATCAACCAGTTACAAATTCAATTAACAGTACTCAACTTATGTTCCTACATTCTCCAAAAGGGTCTCATGAGAGAACAAGTTATTTCCTGAATTCTAGACTCCCCCTGCCAGTAACTGTGCAGCAGGACAACGTGCTGGCTTTTAGAAATGCACGGGCCCTGCCCTGGGCCAACTGAATCTCATCACCACTGACGCCATATTTCACTGGACGGCATGCAGGCCTCTGGGTAAGAACCAGTATCTTAAGTCCAGAAGATCAGTGGCTTTATAAAAAAAAAATAAAATTGGTTAAAATGTAAATACATGCTGGTTTCTAGAAAAGTAGGCAGCTTTTAGTAGGTGCAACAGTTAAGTGCTCAATTACTATCCGGAAGGTTGGCAGTTCAAAGCTACCCACAGGCGCCTCAGAAGACAAGTCACAGGCTTGAAAACCCTATGGGGCAGTTCTGCTCCGCAGCATGGAGTCACCATGCGTTGGAATGACTTGATGGCAACCAGCAATAACAACATCTAGAAAAGTTTAAGTAGTAAAAACCAGCTGTCGTGAACGCACAGTAACCCACGTGTATCAGAATAGAATTGTGCTCCATAGCGGTTTCAATGGCTGCAACCTTCAGAAGTAGATTGCCAGGCCTTTCTTCCAAAGCATTTCTGGGTAGATTCCAACCTCTAACCTTTCTGTTAGTAGCCAAGCATGTAACTGTACCACCCAGGGACTCTAGAAAAATTTAAGTATTAACTAGCTTTAAAACATCAACTCTACTATACCAATAAAAATTGACTGCTACAGTTTACTTTTATATATAAAAGAAGATGATTAATTTATATTACTTTCTGTAATACTGATCATGTTTGAGAATAAAAATCCACAAAACTGGCTTTTATATCCCTATATATTCATGTCTGGATTACTCAGCCCCTTGTTGTTGACTGGTTATTTTTTTCATTTCAATTATATTACAAGTTGATGAATTATTTAAACAATTTTCATAAAAATAGTCATATTTTTCCCTTTTTTATTGTGGTGAGAAATACACATCAAAACATCCACCAACACACAGCTTCCACATTAACAACTAAATGACACTGATTACATTTTTCACACTGTGCCATCATTATCGCTAAGCCAAAAAACCCACTGCCATAGCGTCAATTCTGACTCACAGTGACCCCACAGGACAGAGTAGAACTGCCCCATAGGGTTTCTAAGGAGCCGCTGGTGGATTTGAATTGCTGACCTTTTGGTTAGCAGCCGAGCTCTTAACCACTGTGCCACCAGGGCTTCCGATTATTGCTATCCTCATCCAAAACATTCTACCACCATTCACATAAACTCTACGTCCCTCAAACAAAACTTCTCCTTTTCCCCCTCTCTACCACCTCTGGTAACCATTAATAATCTTTGGTTTCTATATATCTGCTTACTTTATATAAATGAGATCATACAGTATTTCCTTTTGTGACTATGTCATTAAGCACAATGTTTTCAAGGTTCATTCATGTTGCGGCACACATCAGAACTTCGTTTCTCTTTATGGCTGCGGGATATTCCATGGTATGGAGGTACCACACTTTATCCATTCATCTGCTGATGGGACATTTTGGTTGTTTCCATCTTTTGGCTATTGTGAAAAGTGCTGTAATGAACACTGGTGTACAGGTGTCCGTTTGTGTTCCTGCCTTTACTTCTGGGTACGTACCTAGGATTGGGATGGCTGGGTCATATGGTAATTCTACATTCAGCTTTTTGAGGAACCATCAAACTGTTTTCCAAGTGGCTGCCTCATTTTACATTTCCACCAACAATGGATGAGAGTTCCAGTTTCTCCACAACCTCACCAACACTTATGTTCCGTTTTTGTTTTTTTTTTCATCATTGCCATTCCAAGGGGGGTGAGGCGATACCTCACGTCTTTGATTTGCAGCTGTCTAATGGCTACTATGTTCAGCATCTTCTCGTGTGCTCGCTGGCCAGATGAATATCCTCTTTAGTGATGTCTGTTCAAGTCCTTTGCTCATTTTTTGATTGGGTGGTCTTTTTGCTGTTAAGCTGTGGAAGTTTTATATGATTTGGAATATTAGGCCCTTATCTGATATATGGTTTCTGAAATTTCTCTCCCAATCTGTAGTCCTTTGCCCATCTTTTGACTGGGTTATTTGTCTTTTGTTGTTAAGCTGTAGAAGTTTTACATATATTTGGATATTAGGCCCTTATCTGATACATGGTTTCTGAAAATTTTCTCCCAATCTGTAGGTTATTTTTTCACTTTGTTGATAAAGTCCTTTAACGTATCAAAAAACCAAAAAACCAAACCTGTTGCCGTCAAGTCGATTCCGACTCATAGCGACCCTACAGGACAGAGCAGAACTGCCCCTTAGGGTTTCCAAGGAGCAGCTGCGGGATTCAAACTGTTGGCCTTTTGATTAGCAGTTGAACTCTTAACCACTGCATCACTAGGGCTCCAAAAGTATTTCATTTTTATGAGGTCCCATCTATCCATTCTGTCTTTTGCTGCTCGAGTCATATTTTCTTAAATGCAAATTATTTAAGATGTTTTCTAGTGCTTTAAAATCAACACATCTAATTATTATCATTTTTACCTTCCTCTCTCTAGCTTTTGAATATCTTTCTAAACACACATAGGACAAAATCATACATAGTATTATCATACTGTGTTTCTTGCCATTGTCCTGCCCTGTGGATGGATTACATCCCAGTTCTTACATATCACATTTCTATTAATACTGGCCAGGGTCAGGGTGACATTTGTTTGATTTATTTTTTTTTAAAGCTTGTCAAACAGATTTTTTTTTCTATTGTGCTTCAAGTGAAAGTTTACAATTCAAGTTAGTTTCTCATACAAAAAATTTATACCCACATTGTTATGTGACCCTAGTTGCTCTCCCTATACGGTGACAACACACTCCTCCTTTCCACCCTGGATTTCTCATGTCCATTCAACCAGCTCCTGACCCTCTCTGCCTTCTCATCTCGCCTCCAGACAGGAGCTGCCCATTTAATCTCATGTATGTACCTGAGCACACTCCTTACCAGTATCATTTTATGTCCCATTGTCCAGTCTAATCTTTGTCTGAAGAGTTGGCCTTGGGAATGGTTTTAGTTTTGGGCTAACAGAGAGTCTGGGGGTGTGATTTTTTTTTAAAAGGTTCATCTTTTACTCCTGGTCAAATATGACTCTAAGATCTTTTTTTGTTACTGTGTTAATAATTTGCATTTAGGTAATTTATTTTCTCATACGTTTAAAAACAAGTTTTTCATGGAGAGTGGTCACTTTAAAAATCGATTTTTATTTTCTATAATGCCAGCAGGCCTAGAGTATAAACATACTCCCGAATTTTTATACATAAATCCATCATATACACTGCTTATCCCTAGGACTCTGCTACAGAAGTCTTCTTCAGCTGATAAGAAACCACCAATCACTACTCTATACTTGGAATAGCGGCAACACAAGTTGGACATTCAACCCATAAATAATATTTTCCAGACCATGTCTCTCTAATCTGTATATGAAAATTTATCTGAAATGAAATTAAAAAAAAGAAAAACCCTTGATAAAGTCCTGAATGTGTATACTTGCTGTGTCTGTGTAAGACCCATTAAATTATTGAAGAAAACTCATCTCCTATGCCGTTGTAGTTTGAGGAATACAAACAATTGAACCTGGCACATCCAAGATATTTAACATTAATTTCGTTGATGGCAAGTAAGCAAAGATGACAAAGTGTAAGGGACACCTGCAACTTTGTCATGAATAAATACTCAAGAAGGATTCAATTATGTCACCTAGAATTACATTAATTAAGGTCCACACTGATCTTTAGTTCATGCTGGCAAAAAATGAATATGGGAAACGTTGAATATGCTAAAATGTTTAGAAGTTAAAACAAGATGCTACTGGAAATAAATAATATTTCATATACAAAAAAAAAAAAAAAAAGAATACAGCTGACATTCTGGCTAAAAAGTCCACTGTGAGGAAGGAAAGGAATTCTATGACCAGTTGATGATGTCTTAGCAAAAGTTAAATAACTGAAAATAGAAGTGAGAGGAGAGAAGAGAATGGCAGCGATGAAAAGTGGCAACTGGAAGAAGCAATGATTTGGCTGGCAAAGAACAGACACTGATGGTACAGAAGATACCCAGAAACCAAGATAGAGTAGCAAAAACAATGCTGAATCTTGGGGGAGACAGGAGGTACTTTTGACAAGTTCAAATGGGAAAAAAAATTGTTCATATGAGAAAGCACTAAACTATCTTTAACGAGGACTGGGGATGGACAAGTAAGCGACAAAAATGGGATTAAAACAAACTTGTCTGTTTAATATTGATTCCAAGACAACTCAGTTCTGTTTCAGAAGAATTTATAATAAAACATTTATTACTCATAGTGCAAACATCACTTACATCACTACCTTTGCTTCTCATGTCAAGAGTTTTAATCCATTATAACATAGCACAGAAACTTATACAGATACTTACTTATACGGTTTCTGTGGCAAGATACTGATCCGGGTCTTGTCAAGTATCTTTTTGAGCTTGTTCCTTCCTCCAACAGTGTTGGCTTTGCTTTTTTTATTGACTTTCTCCAGTCCTATCACCTGCTCTACATCTACAGCAAGGTCTGGGATGGAGTAGCGGCTGGCCTTTTTGATGTCTCCAATTTTAGGGAGGTGAGGAGCACCATTTCTCTTCTCTTCTGATAATCTAGTTAGAAGTTCTTTAAATACTAAAATGAATGGAAACATAAACACCACACAATGCCAATTATAAGAAATCGGAACAACTCAAAGGCAATTATAAAACTTGGAGATATCTGAGAATATGGATTTCAGCAATCAGAATTGCAATCCTGTGGAAAAATACTTACTCTAATGATAAATGTCACCAAGAAACTGTCTGTATATTGCTTTGTAACTTCCACTCAGAATAAAAAACAAAACAAACGGAGTAGCCCACTCCCCAGTCTATAGGTAATTAAGCATTATCAACATTCATCAAGAAAATCACAGATAAAAAAGAACTTGTATGGTGTTTAAATCAGTAGACTTTGATTTATATCTAATAATGTATTTACATAATTAACTATGCCTATACAGGCAGTCCCTGACTTACGACGTATTTGAGTTATGATGGACCACACTTATGACTGTTTTTGTTTTTGGAGTACATCTTATCATCAGTAATGTATACTACATACAATGTTGCAGCTTTTAATTTGCCAATGTTATTCTCAGATGTTCATTCACAGACGTTCAAAGATCAAATTTATAAAGATACTGATAATAAAAGGCAATAATAATGAAAACTTAAAAAAAAAAAAAAAGACACTCAACTTACGTCAGAACTGATTTACAACAGAGTTGTCAGAACGGAACCCCGTTGCTACTATCTATATAGTTTACTATACATACTCTGATCCTTACGTTTTAAAAATCACTCATAAAAATGACTTCTTTTATGGTAAGACCTAAATGTTAAAAAAAAAGACCAAAAGGAGAAAAATAAAAGTATGCAAAAACACTTACCAAATAAGTTGGTTTTCACAGTGATAGATAAATGTGTGTTATTTCTAAGAATTTCCATGGCTTTTGACAGCTGAATATTTTCAAAGTTTTGGCCATTGACTTCTAGTATCTAAAAATAAAATTATAAAATTAACTGCAGTATTGCATTTGACTGAAGAAAAAAGAGACACCAATATTCACACTTAAATCTCGGTTTAGAAATATCCTACCTGATCCCCACGTTTCAAGCCTGCTTCGGTTGCTCTGCTACCTGAATCTACGCTGTCAACAAAGATTCCAAATCCCTTCTCTGAGCCTCCCAGTAAGATGAAAGGCAAAGGAGCTTCTCGGGAGGGTTTTGTTAATGTCATTGATCTTCTCTTTGCTTTAGCTGCACACGCAATATTTAACAGCCTCAGATGTCCACCCATTTTCTATAAAAGTTCAGGAGAAGTGGTGTCAATGCAAGGACAGGGTGATTAAAAGGAACTTAACGCTGATCAGGTCTTTAAAAAAATCACAAATATTACCTCTCTTTCCAGATTATTTTCAAATTCTTCTAGAAATCGAGTCATCGCAGGATCTCCCTCAAAGTCATTGAAGTGATTATTCACCCACAACAATACTACCCGTGTAACCTGAAAATCAATGATTGAAAATAAGTGTACTACTTTTTAGTATGAAAAATTTGCGATCCGAAGTATTTTAAAAAGAATCTAACTTTCAGACAATACACTTAATAATACTGAATAAGAAAAAAAAAAAGCCTCAGCAAGGATTTTACTCATATAAAAATAAGACCTTCTGAAAAAAATATATTTATCTTTTAACTACAGACTTTTACGTCGTTGTCCCAAGAAGGGTTTTTGAATTTGTGAAGGATGGTATTTAATTTACATGTTGCTTACTTTTAAAACATATTTGAAGTAGTCACAATAAAAGCAAAAGTACAATAAAACCAAAATAGATTACTACAAGACGGAAGAAGACAGAAAGTAAAAAGTAAAGGCAGAGGAACAAAATAGATAAAGGGAATGAACTGCGTTAAGCTTAGAGAGAGATGCAAGGAACAGGTTATAAAAAGGAGACAGCTGGGAGTAGATAAATATTACTTGCTAACACAGAGATTTAGGAGCCTTTTAACACCTGCAGTACTCCAGGAGAAAAGAGTAGCCTTTCCCTTCGCTGCATACGTGTTTTCACAGACGGCCTCACACAGACTAATACACACACCCACAGTCATGGAGTATTCCTTTTGTACCCAGTGAGAACTACGCAGCATTCATTACACTCTAAGTTCCAGGAGGTCGTCTTTGTCTAACACATTCTAAACTGCCTATCATGTACTAAATGCACCTGTAACAATGCCTGGCATGTAGTCAGTTCTCAATAAAATTTTACTGAATAAAATGAATGTAACTGCAACTTTAAATATAGAAATACAGCCACATACTTGTTTTAGTTCAAATCTTTATTCCTGTAACTGGTATTAAGGGTAAAATTAAACTCTGATATATACATATATCTGTATCCATGTATATATCAGAGTTTAATTTTCTAAATTCTGAGTAACAAGTTAAAAGAAATTTTTTGTACAATTATTTCAAAAATGAACCATGTCCTTCATCAAACTGAGAAAAGGGTGGCTCAGTGGTTAACAGCTCTGCTGCTAACCATAAGGTCAGCAGTTCAAATCCACCATGGCTCCTTGGAAGCAGTTCTACTCTGTCCTACAGGGTCGCTGTGAATTGGAGTCAACTCGACAGCAACGTTTTGTTTTTTTGTTTTTTTTTTAATTTAGCATTAAAGAAACAAGGCTATGTTGTACAGTTAATTTTAACAAATCACAGTACATGATCTGACTAACAACTGAAGAGTCTTCATATTTATGTTAATCTTTTGTCATTTATTATCAATTTTGCTCAGTTTTCAAATTTACAAAACTGAGACCATCTCCCTTATAACTGTAACATCTGACTTTTTCACAAAATCATAATTTTGTCGCTCAGAAGGCAGTTTGAAAGTCAACTAGCCATTTTACAGATAAAAAAACAAGGTTCATAAATCATAAACTGAGTACCAATAACCACCGCCAATAATCACGAACAACCCTGAAGATGCGGTAGGTGTACTCGAAGCCAGGCTCCAGATAAAGAACTTGTACTATTCCGTTTCATTCTCAGAGAAACCCCAGAAGCAAAGACAGCGAGTCCCAGATCATCAGGTGACACACAGGTGTATGGCAGAAACAACACTCCCATCAAGCTTCCACGGGTGTGAGGACTTCCAGGCTTACGCCTCTCAGAACGTGCAATGAGAGGCATTACTGTCCCGACGACCTCTCAGAGATCACAGAGCCACTGAGCGGCAAAGCCAGCACCAGAGTGTTGGGCTCTTCACCTTTACTTCTATTTTCGAGACCTTCATATATCCTGCCTCTTTCAGGTCTGTTGCATGCAAGGCAGACTGCCGCATGGAAAGAAGAAGTGAGTATGGACTATGGCGAGCGCTCAAACCTCAGAGGACTATGAGAACTATGTAGCTCTCTAGAGTTGCGAAGTGGGGTCTACTTAGGGTTATACTACTGGGGCCTACCAGCCAGTGATGGCTGTAATGAAATGTTGTTCCGGTGTCCATTTAAAAATTATTAACTTGTATCTGACAACACAGACTACCTACAGAACTAGAAAATGAAGACCCCCGGGGGAGTTGTGTTTTAACACATTCCCAGCAGGGCTAAAGTTTAAACATTTGGTGGCTAATTTATTGGCCTTTGCAGTAAAATAAAACATTTCTAGGGCTTAGCTCAGAAATCTATAACAAGAACTTTTTTTTGCTTCAAAAGTACAGTCCTAAACATTAATTTATTCCAGTAAATTAATTTGAACTAGTGTGACAAATACATAGAGAGTATCTTTAAGTTAATATCTTAATATTTCATATTTAAGTGCTAAAATAGAATGTATTTGCCAACCTTATCCCTGAGGCTCGGGTCATTAAACCACTCCAACAACTTTTTGCCCACTTCCATTGGGCTAGAAAGAAAAGTCCTATAGGTCAACAGGAAGTCTTCTATGAATGTTGGATCCACCACTGAATGCTCTTCCACTAAATGCATTGTTAGTCTTTCTGAAGTGCCCTGTAACAAATACAGATGTAATCATTACCCTGCATGAATAACATTTCTATAGTACCGAGATTTTAAACTTTCAACATAAAATCAACTGGGTTGTGTAATACAGAATAATAATAATACATCTGCTGTTCATCAAGAAATACAGACTTCTTATAACTGACAACTCTGAAGAGATGTTATGCTTAAAAATGGAAAAAAAAAATCCCTGTTAATGAGAAATTTTGATTGCGCCAAGAAGATAAAATTCTGTATCGCTATAAATGACACTACCAAAAAAATCCCTTCCCCTGGGCGATGGGGAGCTGGCTGCTTTACCTTGATGACAATGTGCCCCTTTCTTGTTCCAGTCCGATCAAGTTCTCGGTGTTCTTTTACCATAACAATCTCTCCTTCCTCTTCGACTTTTTGCATGTTCTTTTCTACTTGGTTGAGAATACGGCAGTAATCTTGCTGTGCTATGCAGACAAACTGGAATAAAACGTAAGTCACGTGTTGATGATAAAGTGCTTGCAGAAGACCTAGCAGTACTAATAATTCAGTGTTTTAATTATTTAACACTGACATTTTTCCATGTCTTTCCCATACTTTCTAAATGAGTGCAGTGATGAAGCTTAATCACACTTCTCTACTTTTTAATGTCTATTTCTTCCTTGGATCAGAGAAGTTTTATTTTTAGAATAAAACTTGTATGTAGTTTATATTCTAAATCTTAACAATTTTAAAAAACAGAAGATAAAATGAGAAGAGTCCTTTTTTTATGTCTCTTCTGTTAACAGTTAAAAAAACAGAGGAGAGAGGGATGAGTAGAATTCTATGAGGATGGATAATAAAAATAATTACCATCAAGTGGACTTAAAAAATCACAAAAGATTTTAAAAGCAACAATTTAAAAATGATATAAGGATGACTTTAATAGAAGATATACTGAAATTCAAACTTGATTATAGTGAGAAGAAACCATTTAGGAAGTCTGTTGGCAAGCAAGGTCACAAAACAAGCCATATACTTGTTTTAGTAACTGGTATTAAGGGTAATCCTTGCTCCTAAAGAAAAAGTTGCCAATAATATGCACATCAAGCAATTACTCCTCCATGATCCCAAATATAAAAATTTAGGGCTTCTGGCAAACCAGCAGCAATTCATACTTGAGAAGCAGCATACTGCAATATTAAGTTTCTCCAACTGATCTGGCTGGTATGATCTCATTAATTTTTCTATTAAGAATTTTAGAAGTAAAAAGTTAAAAATTCAGAAGTCATAGGCCTTTCTTGTACAAGTAATTGTGTACAGTTTAATTAAAAAAAAAAAAACTTAAAAAACTCAACTTACTTCCGTAACACTGATCATGTTTTGAAATACGTGGTCTCTTAGTTTGCTGTCTCAAAAATATTTTCCTTTTTCTCTTTACAGTGCAGCAAAACTGCTCCCCAAATATACATGAATAATTATGTGACTTAGAAGTTTAAAAACTGTAAGTTTCATGTCCAAATAATTTAAGGGGTTCTTTCTTATATTCAGTTTTACACAATATAATCATCATTTTATCATTTATCTTCTAAAAAGAGTAAGTAGATAGATTATATTAAAGACAATGTGTTTTGAAGAGAAATGTACTAAGACAAACCTCTTTGACTAAGGATTTAAGGGAAATTAGGGTACGATTTGAAATTCTGAGTGTCTAGACACTTTGGCATTTCTTCTGTAGCAAACTGAAATAGCACCCCCCCCTCAAAAAAAAAAATCCCAAACTGAATTTCTAATATGGTTATACAGACTGTTATCTACAAAGAAATAAATTTTAGTTGCGATTTTATCTAATTTTTTATATTAGCAGATTTATTTTGCTTTAACAAATTTATCAATCTAATGTGAAATTTACAAATAAAATTAATTAATTTTAACTGGTATGAAAGACAGTAGAAAATTTGTGAATTAGGTGTATAATTGTTTTAGTGAGGTTATATTAGAGTCCCTGGGTGGTGCAAATGGTTAATGTGCTTGGCTGCTAACCAAACGCTGGAGGCTGAGTCCACCCAGAGGTGCCTTAGAAGAAAGGCCTGGTGATCTACTTCTGAAAAATCGGCCATTGGAAACTCCACGGAGCAGAGTTCTGCTCCGACACAGATGGGGTCGCATGAGTCAGAACTGATTCAACAGCAACCAGGGCACACTTTCAGAGAGGTGTTAACCCATGTACGGTCCTGGCATCCTAACAGGAGACAAAAGTTCCAACAATGTCATTTATGAAAGGCCACTGACCATTTATCTCACATATTTTCCTTTGGGCAAATGACACCGTAACTTATATTTAAGGAGAACAATTATAGACAAAGAATGAAGCATAATTAGACTTTGAGCAACATACAGTATAGTCAGCTTCCAGTTTATGCACTGCAAAATGGCTTTCTCCTCCAAAATTACTTAAGGTGTCATGAAGTCCCCTGATCGCAGAAAAAGGTGAATCTAACACAGATTCATCTTAAGAGGTTAGCTCTGTTTGCCTTGGCACTTTGCAGGCTGTAAGGGAAAGTCATACCTAATTGTGCACATAGGTATCCAAGTGTCCACCCCCACTGAAGGGCGTAAGGCAGGGCTAAGCGACGCCTGGGGGGTCTCTGGCAGGCCTCGGATGCAGACGGTGGAGAAGGAATGAAGGGAGGAGGTGGGCACAGGGAGGGGAAAGGAAAAGGACAGGGGACCAGAAAAGGAAAGGAAGAGGTGTCTGTGGGGAATGGAACCCCCGTCGCCTGGTTCCACAGGATGCTTACACCTGGCCACGACCTCTGTCCTTCAAACCACACGGGGAGTTAAGAACAGACACTGCAGAGGTAGCACCCCACGAAGAAGGAATCCACAACAAAACAGCCTTCAGCACACGGCGGGATCCCCCGGAACAGAAACACACGAGAAATCTACTCCACTCACCATTGCGTCCTCAGACTTTACGCAAGCTCAACTACTTATCGTAACGACATGACAATTGCCTTTGTCTCATTCAATAACCGCTGATTCTCTACAATGTGCTAAGAATATCAGAAACTTATGGAGGCCATTTTATGGATGAACTAAAATATGATTCTCACTGTCTCCTTCACTCCCCCTAAGTGAAGAGGATGATCTGCCATTTGTACATTCTGACAGATATGTGGCATTTGAACAAAAATATACTAAAATAGTTTTTCAAAGAAGCATTTACATTAAAATGTCTAGATTCATTCTCCATCCCTGTTCTGCTATTAAGGGAATTGCATGCCTGAGCAGATGGCTTGCTGGAAGTCTAGGAGTGATCCTGGAAACTTCTGATCTCATATGTTCCTTTTACAGCGGCTCGGAATGGCCAAGCCAGGAAGGAGGAGACTTTCTCTAGCTTGTGCCTTGCCCTCGACTCTCCTGCACTTCTGGGACTCTCCTTTCCGGAGTTACAGGAGTCTACATACCTTTGTCAGAGTCTTCTTTTGAACTGGAGTCTAGCTGGCTAACTCTGTCACACTGGGTTTCCCGCTATTTCCTTACCCCGTAAATAGATTAGACTGTTCCCAACATAACCTCTTCCTCCTCTGCCTTTCCCAGGGTTCCCAGATAAATATTTAATATTACCTGGTGCATCTGACATGACTTGAGCACTCTAACATTTAGTCATGTCATAACATTTTTATCAGTTATTCTGAAACATTCCTATGCCCCTAATGTCCTTTTAGTCCCACGATTATGAAATTTCTAACAAAAGGGTTTTGACAAATTAGATGTTACTGTAACAGCTGAATTCTTACAAATAAAGTAACTTTTAACTTGACTTTTAAGGACAGAGTATCCTATCTGAATGCTCTGTAATCCCAACATATAGAAGCGTTCAGGGAAGAATTGATAAAGAGACTCTTTAGCTCACTTCAACTCAGTTTAGCTTTATTCTTTTTAACAGTACAATTCCAGAGCTGAAATATCACATGTAACCTTTTTAAAATGAACATTCTCAGGCCGGAGACTTCAGGATTTATCTACCATTTTCTTTTCCTTTATTACACCAAATAATTGAGAATTGACGGTACTTAGAATGCTTTCCTGACATTACAAACTTAAAATCCTGAATTCATAGCCATTTCCTGCCCCTCAGTACTGCTCACTGAAGGAACTACCTTGCAAAATTATTTTGAAGTTGTGTGATCTGAACGTCGTGCAAACACCTGGGTCTGAGGGGCCCCAACTGGAGGCTGCTGTGTGGCACGTGGCTCAGGAAGCTCCCACTGCAGTCCCGCCTGGCATGTGGGCCACAGCCCTGTGAAAATCATGACTGAAGACTCCTGGCACAAGCCGGGGCAGCAGGAGGGGGACCTCGGCGACACGGCGCCCCCCACCTTATCTGAGCCCTGTTATGTCTGCCAACCTTAGGTGCTTGGGAGCGGGACTGGGCACCCACTCCTCCCAGGGGCAGGGGCACCTGTTCCCGCAGGTGGGAAGCAGCACGCGGAAGCACAATGGATATGCATATGCGAAAGGACCTTGCAGGAATGGATAAAAATTCAAGTCTGTTCTTTACAATAAACCACGATGTCTGTCAGGCTGCAGACTAATAAATGCAAGGGACACTAAACTTAATCTGGTCAAACATTTTGGTTTATTTACATTAAAATACTTTTACTTTTCAAGCAAAAACTTTTTAAAAGACAAATTATAAATAATAACAAAAGCATCTTAAACTTATTTCTTACTAATATAGAGGTTACTGGCTAAATCAATCTAATTAAATTTTTTATTTGGCCTCAATTCCATTATTAAATGCTTTTGCTATTAAGTATTCTCTTTTTGTTAGTAATTATTTTCTTCTACTAGTAAGTCTTTGTACTGATTAATTACTATGAAAAACTTCCACGACTCTTCTAAAATTACTTCATCTTGTACGTATTCAAATAAAAACACTGCATGACTCTACCATATCTTTATTAATATATTTACAACTTCTTTTAATAATGTGTTCTACTTCCTTTTTTTTTTGTTACTGTAGTTGTCCTATATTCTTTTTTTAAAATTGTGCTTTAAATGGAAATTTAGTTTAAGTTGGTCTCTCATATAAAAATTCATACACACATTGCTATGTGACCCTAGCTGCTCTCCCTACAATGTGACAGCACACTCTTCCTTTCCACCCCAGATTTCCTGTGTCCATTCAACCAGCTGTTGTCCCTTTTTGCCTTTTCATCTCGCCTCTGGCCAGGAGCTGTCCGTCTAAACTCATGTATCTACTTAACCTAAGAAATACTTTCTTCACGAGTATGATTTTATGTCCCATAGACCAATCTAATCTTTGTCTGAAGCACTGGCTTCGGGAATGGTTTCAGTTCTGGGCTAATGGAGAGCCGGGGGCATGTTTCTGGGGTCCCTCGAGCCAGACCACTAAGTCTCGTCTTTTTACAGGAATTTGAGTTCTGCACCCCACCTTTCTCCTGTGTTCCCTGTCAGTATGTTCACTGGTG